AACCAATGGCTTTATTGGGAGGGGCAAGGGTTGAGGGGAGCCTCTGAATTGGCAAGACACATGAACCATCTGTAGAGTCCATCCAAAGCCAAAACCAGGCAACTGAGAATTTTGTTTCCATATTGAAACAATAAAAATACATTATTTGCCTTAAGTTTTTGAAATTGCAAGTCATTCAAACTGAATCTTAACATTATCTAATTTCATCAAATGGGGCATTTGAATACCAAATTTTACATACACTGTGCCTTATTTTCAATTTTTTTAGTCAATTTTCCATTGAAAGGCAACGGAGCACAAACATAATGCCTCCTGAAAAACCAAGGAAAGTATTATGATGAGAAAAAAGGTTATCCAAAATACGTCTGCAAAGCACAGTTTCTGGCAGATTCTGTAAATGAACTTCTAAAATTAAAATGGATATTGCTAACCTTTGCCAAAAAAGTGATTATTGAGTCATGGTAAGAATTAACATGTATTCATTATTCAGAGCATAAGGAAATACATGTTTTTATATATGTAACTTGGCATTATAGAAAAAAAGGTACTAAATTAAAAGAAGGTACCAAATTGCTTTAGGTACTAAATTACAAGATGCTGCCTTAAGTAGAACATTTGCCATTTGAATGCAACCTTCTTCTGGGCTCTCACTCAATTTGACTTTGGATACATTTTTTCCTTGTGCTTTTTCCTACCCTGAGTCTTTCCACACGGACTCTTCCTGTCTTGCGCTTTCCCACCCCTCCTTCAACGCTGTTCTCTTGGAAACTCCACATTTACCTTCCAATGCTGCACCAAGTTCCAGCTTAGGGGCAGGGGACACTCCACTCAAAAATGCCTCATCTCCACCCACAAAGCTGTGGAATGTCAAACAGATGGGAAGGACTGGCAGATTCAAACCAGAACCGCTGAAGAGCCAGCTGTGTTCTCACAAGAGAAAGTTGCTTTCTTGTAAAACTGTCTTCATTTCCACTCCCAAAAGCATCATGCTGCCACATGCCTGTGACAGGGTCCCAGAAAAAGCATCAACAGCCGTGAGGACATGAAGACATTTGTGGCACCTCTCTCACCAAGTGACCCCATGTGGACATGCCTACTCCAGACTCTTCTACTTCATTGGTGGCTTTTTCTGCATGCTTGTCAGTCAGGCCACACGGGTCAGCACCATCCTCACTCCTGGGCCAGGGCTTAGGCTGATACTGACTGGGCCAGGCCTTTGGCCACGGCTGGTGTGTGGTGGGAAGGAAGCCAGACCGGCTTCTGTGTCTGGGCTGCTATCAACCCTAGGAGAGGAATTTCCTCTCCCAGCCTCTCTGTTCACTTTTATCAAGGGCACTACTCCTTGGAGAGAAGGAATTAAATTGTTCTCTCTTTTTTCCCCTTCTATCTAAACCTCAGTCTTTTGTAAACAAACTTGCTTTAAAACCACAGAGGCTCGTGTTAAATCACTTCTTGCAAAAACAGAAACACACGTCAACAGCAGTGGGACGTGCCTGGAGGGAGCGCCTGTGTGTTACTACCTGTGAATGTGGCTCGTTTTAGAATGTGTGTCCCCAGGTGCTGGGCAGAGGCTAGAGGGGTCACACAATTCACTAACCTTCCTTCTGGAAGGATTCCTGCTGTCTGACGAACCCCATCTCTTCCTTCACCAATTCAGAGATGTCTGGTGATGGCTGGACACCAACCTCTACTGACACGCCCCATCGCCCCGCATCCATAGCGAGCCTGCACTCAAGGCTTCTCGGCTCTGCATGTCCTCTCTATCTTCTATGTTTGCTCCCCGGTTCACTTAACCACTATAAGAAGGGTCTGTGGCCAGCAGCCCCTTTCACAACTGGAGAAACCCAGGCTCAGGGAAACACAGCCACCCATTTTGCTGCCAGCTGTCTTGGATCTGTAACTCTAAATACAATTCTGGATGTACAATCCCACAAACAAAGCTGTGGCCACTTCCCGAAACCCAAACTGTTGAGTGTCTCCTATATCCTCATGGTGTACATGCAAAGAGTGTTTCCCTGACATGGGGACATGAGTTTAATATGATGTTGAGAGTGAAAAGGATTAGATTAAATATAGACACAGATATAGATACAGTTACCGCTACAGGTAGGATGCTCACCCCTATCCCAAGTGACACTTGTAAACAGGAGGAAAGCCAGGCCACTCTTTCCAGACCTGGAGGTAGCCCCACATTTCATTCGGAGGGAGAACCTCTAAGCCCCCTGTGATGGTCAATTTTTTATGTCGACTTGACTGGATAAGGGCTACCTGGGTAGCTGGTAAATTCTTATTTCTGGGTGTGTCTGCCAGGGTGTCACCAGATGAGATTGGCATTGAATTAGTGGGCTGAGTGGGGAGGATTCACTGTCAATTTGGGTGGGCACCATTTAATAAGTTGGGCTCCCAGTTGAATTTTAAAAAGGCAGAAGGCAGCTGACATCTCACCCTCTCTCTTCCATAGTTGGGAAACTCTTCCCCTATCCTTGGATATCAGAACTCCAAGTTCTCCAAACTTTGGACTCCAGGACTCCCATCAGAGTCCCCAACGCTCTTCTGCCTCAGTCTTAGAGTTACACCTTAGGTTTCCCTGACGCTGAGGCTTTCAGACCTGGACTGAGCCACACTGCCAGCATCCCAGGGTCTCCACCTTACTGATGACCTGTCATGGGACTTCTTAGCCTCCATAATTATTGTGAGCCAATTTTCCCAATAAATCCCCTCTCATAGATATATCTCTTTACATGTAGCCTATTGGTTCTGCCTCTCTGGAGAACCTTTATCAGTACACCCCACTCCCTGACTCTTTACTCTCCGTCTGGCTTCCTTATACCTGCTCTGGGACCGCCTGAGCTGCTGGCTCTTGAGGGTTCCTCCCCAGGACACCTGCTAGGCTGCTCCCTCACCTCCCTGAAGAGGCCCACCCTGAACTCAGGAACCGGAATCCCTGCTCCCTCAGGCAGTCCAACACCACCGATATAGTCCTGTCGTATCTAATTCTCCTTTCACCTTACTGTATCATTTACTTGCTAATATTTTTCTTCTAATGAAATGATGTAACTGCAGGACAAAGCAGCAATCTTTATCCCTCTTGCTCCCTGATGCTCTCTGGAAGAACATGATGGCAGGCAGTAATGAAATAATGCTGAGCCTATTCAATGAATCAGAACATGCAAATGCATGTAAGAAATACAGTGCCATGTGGAAGGTTATGCTACATTAGAAGCTGTTCTTACTAGGCTCTTGGATTACTTTGATTGTTGGGTTTTCTTTTTCTCCTTTGTGTGCCACATGGCTATAAATATTCCACATTTATAATTTTTAGTTTTTGTTTTTCCCAGCAGGAAAATAGGTTGATAATTGTCTTTGTGTACTTATGCCACCTGTACTGTCTCATTGAACAAATATTTATTGAATATTGATTCTTCTGGCATCAAGGCAAAGAGTCACAGCATGGTGAAAATTCTAGTTTAGTTATAGTAAGTTTAGACAGAAAGTTGCATGTGTATACGTGTGTGAATATTTTGTTGAGCCTTGGCAATCTTTGTTACTGTGGTGTAGTCTTCCAAAACTGGCTGATGTGAGCCCAGTGGAGATCATGAACTAAACGATGCTTCCAAACTATGCTGTGCTTCGAGTGCCAATTATTCCAAAATAACATGTATGTCTCACCATGTGGTAGTTTTCAGTGCCCTCATTGAGTTGTGTCTTGGGGTGTGTACCGTGCTCAGGCTCTTCCTGTGTTATCTCTGGGCCAGATCATGTGATCTGTGTTGGCCATTGGGACATCAATACATGTGGTGTCAGTGGAGGCCTTCAAAGACCTTGGCATGGGGCTCACCTTCTTGCTTGATGGTTTGAAACCAACCTTCATGAGAAGAAGCCAGACCAGGCTGTGGAGAGCCATGGTCCAGTGGACAGCCAGCATCGACCACCAGACACATGACACAGGTCATCTTAAACTGTCCAGCCACAGGCAAGTCTCTGGATTAGTGCTGCCCAGCAGAAATTACAGTGATGGGAATGTTCTATAGCTGTGCTGTTTTACAGGGCATCTTCCACTCCCATGTAGCTAGTGAGCACCTGAAACGTGGACAGTGTTGGCTGAGAATCAGACGTTTTATTTTCTTAAATTAATTCATAACTCAAATTAAATAACCACATGTAGCTAGTGGCTAGAGGCCCAGGGGACCACTCTTTGCAGACAAGTTGAGCAAAACAAATGTCTAGCTGACTGCAGTCTACATCATGATGCACAGGACGAAGCAAATAGCTGTTTTAAATCATTAAACTTTGGAGTCATTTCTAACACATCGGTTGGTAACTGATCCCCCATCTACAAGTACATAACTAAAAAATGTGACATTGTTTGCCTCCAAGTTAGAGAAAAATTTATGTCTAACAGTTATGTTACTTCAATATAAAAATCACCACTTACTCCATTTTTATATTCTACTTTGAAATCCTATAAATTCTTACATAAAGGAATTTGCTTTCCATCCTCCTGATGCTTTACATGCTCTCCTGAAAGTGAAATGGCTTCCATTCTTTGATCAAACAAAATACATTTGGATCCAGAAAGCAGCAATGGAATCTAGGCAAGAAACTTATGATCAGAATGTGTTCATTATTGAGAAACATTAGGACTCCATAGTCATAATCCCAGACCCATCTCTCATAGCCTCACACTCCAACTTTAACATCTTGGAGTCAAGTGCTAAAGTGAAAATAAAATGAATATAATTGTGAAACACGATCATATACAAGGTAAAGAATTTAAGCATAAAATTCAGAGGGAAGACTGCCCAACAGCTTCTGTACAGGACTAAGTCATCAGAGCAGGGTTGCCTGCAGATCCCTGCTCTCTCATGGCTCCCTGGGGGTCAGTTTCTGATGTTAAGCAAGAGACCCTTTCAAAGCACTGAGACAGTTCTTCCTAAAGAACCCTCTTGGGGCCACTGCACAGCAGGTAAGATGCTAATAACAACACACCCAAGACTGGGTAACTTATAAAGGAAAAAGGTTTAATTGACTCACAGTTGCACCTGACTGTGGAGGCCTCACCATCATGGAGGACAGCAAGGAGGAGCAAAGGCACATTTTACACAGCAGCAGGCAAGAGGGCATCTGCAGACTCTTCTTTATTAAACCATCAGATCTCATGAGATTTATTCACTATCACAAGAACAGCACAGGGAAACCCCACCCCCATGATTCAATTACTTCCCACCAGGTTTCCCCCATACACCCGGGGATTACAGGAGCTACAATTCAAGGTGAGATTTAGTGGGTGGGGCATAGTGAAACCATATCACTCTCCTTCCCTCCGCCCATCCACAACTGAGCTGTGAGAGTAGTGCACAGGGCTGAGAGCCACAGGAACTGGGAGGCACCTGGCATTTGGGTGGGGCACTGGCTTTGAGCCTCAGTTTCTCCATTCATAAGGCGGGAGGAGGCTTCATGTCTGCTCATCCACAGATGTGCGTTAGGTTTAAAAAGAGAAAGAGAGAAAATGCTTGAAAGTGCAGTGTGTTTCTACTTTTTGAGATCCCAGTCAAGGCAAGCCCAGAAGAACAGGACCAGGACCAATGTGGGGAAGCCACAAGCAAATCGACTGTATGTGACTCAACATGAGGAAGAGCTGCCTTTCCCATGGTGTCATAGATAGAAGGAATGTTTTCTCTGTCAGAGGAGGCACTCAAGACGCTGGTGAGGAACTGCTTGGCCATTACAGTTAGATAAGACATAAAAATAATTCTTACAGAGAATTTGAAACTTGACTTTGGGCACTCTCCAGGGACACTTTGGTAGAGGTAAAACGTCTTCAACTCAAGACATAAACATCTTCTTGAGTGTCTTCTTGGTGCTTAGAGAATAATATCAGTCACAGACATCAGATAGGGGAACAAGCTGTGGCACACAGCTCCAGACGGTGTGCGTGTATGGCACCGAGAGTTGTTCTGGGCACAATTATCAACAGTGATAATGACATCCAAGGGCACAGCTCTGAACCTACGTTTCAAACATGCGCTGCAGTACTGTCTAACAGGGTGCCGGAGAGGGACTTTTGCATCAGGCACTCTTGGGCCTCTTCCATCTCTAGGAGTCGGTGCTTGCACGATTGCTCACATGTGGAGCCTGGAGCATCGCTGTGACTCACAGGTTCACCTTCTGACGATGCATGTGGAACCAGCAGGATGCGGTTGCTGCAGAAGATACACGTCAGTGGAATGGAAAACACAGTGTATCTGCAGGGAATTTTGTGAGTGAATTCTGAAAAAAAAAAAAAAAAAAAGGAATTGATAAGGGAAGCCAAATCATTGGGAAGATGTAATTAAAGAGGTGCATAACAGAAATGAATAATTTCAAATAGGTAAAGATAATTGTGAGTATAAATATGTTCCAGGCAATATATTTTTAACCTTAATGAATGCATGCATAAGCAATGCTCCCTTCCCATCTCCTCAGGCTCACCTGTTGCTCTTTGCTCTCTTTCTGGTGGGTCTGCCTGGGACCCTCTACCTGCAGAGAGCTTCAGAACACTCTCTCTGGTCTGTTTCAAGTATTTACTCCAATCTCAGCCTCTTATAAGAACTAATCAGATCATTTCTAGCACATTGCCTCCCTCCAGCCAAGCCTCGCTCATGGAGTAAAGCATATAGCCTCTTCTCCGGCTATATGTTTTATCTTACCCTTTCTTTTCATTTTGACTCACCTGTTCTAAATACCGTGTAATTCCTTCATGCATTACTTTTATGGTTTGGGGGCTTTTTTTTCCCCTGGTAGAATCTAAACCATAAAAAGCAGGGATGAATTTTGTTCAGTAATGTACCCCACATGCTTCCAACAAAGGCTTTTGTATAAAACAGGTGCTCAGTACAAATGTGTTAGAGAACATATTGATATCACAGGTAAGATATAAACGCAAGCTTCCCAAGCTTTAACATCGGCTCACGTTTGAGTGGGTTTACATAGGTGTATGGAAAGCAAACCCACGGTGCCAAGACTCTGTCACTCTGCACCACTGCCAGCAGCAATGGGACATACTGACTGATATGGTTTGGCTGTGTGTGTGTCCCCACGCAAATCTCATCTCACACTGTAATCCCCACATGTTGAGAGGGGAGGTAATTACATCATGGAGATGTTTTTACTGTTGCTGTTCTTGCGATAGTGAGTGAATTCTCATGAGATCTGATGGTTTTAAAAGTGGAAGCTTTTCTTTTCTGCATTCTCACTTCTCCCTCCCGCCACCTTGTGAAGAAGGCGCCTACTTCCCCTTCTGCCACTGTCATGATTGCAAGTAAGTTTTCTGAGGCCTGCCCAGCCATGTGAAACTGTGAGTCAATTAAACTTCTTTCCTTCATTAAATTACCCAGTCTTGATAGTATGTGCAAATGGACTAAAACATTTTATAAATATACAAACTTATGAATTATGAATTGCCCACCTTGACAAGTGTCAGAATGGACTAAAACACTGACAACAGTGATCCCAGGGCTCAGGGTCTTTCTGTTGCTCAGTGAGGATGAAACAGGATTGCTGAACACTCATGCATCACACACAAGGTCAACTTCAGCATCTCCTTTCATGATCTGCGCACTGTGGACCTTTCTCGCTAGCTCTCTCCCATTCTTCAGAGAGTGGGAGTGACTGAATGTTTTAGAGTAACAAATGAAGAATGTATAAGTGGGGGAAAAAAGTTTCTTTCCTGTAATTGTTCAGGAATCTATTTCCTGGGACAGAAGGAATGTGCATTTTTATAATATTGGGGTTTTTCTTTGTTTTATTATAATAGAAATGAGAAAATTAATTGATCACATCAAAAAGAACTCTCAAACACTTGCCCACATCAAGAAACAAAGCTGAGTTTACCCTCTCCTTTCAAATTTTGCAGAAACTTTAATTCCTTAAGAAATTAAATAAAATCTGGTTTCTGACCAAGAAAGGAAGCATAAATGTCAGCCCTCCCCAGAAAAGCAGATTTGCCTTCAGTTTGGTGTGCTCATGGCAAAAATCCCATGAGAAAACCTGTTTTTCTTCTTTGTGCTTTTAGAGCAATTAAAACTCAAAACAACAGCAGACTTAAATTTTGGTGACCTATGTCCTAGCCCAACCCCTAACCATGGACACACTGCATCCCACTCTGTCCTTTCTTTTCATGTGTCCAGAATGAAGGTTCCAAGATGTCAGAGAGAGAGAGAGATTTCCAAGAACTATGGAGAGAGAGTTATCATCACCAGTCTCTTAATAACTCACGAATTAATTGCAAGCACAAAATACAGTTATCTCAACATGCCTATGAGGTAACTGTGGAAACAGAGACAATGGAAAACAAAACGGGTTATTATTTTCCAAGGAAATACTGCACTTCCCTTCTAACCCTGATGACCTGTGAGTACTGAACAGAAACCCACAGCGGTATGAATAGAGGAGGTCAGAAAGAAGGCCAAGGAGGGAAGCACAGACGGGAGGACAAGGCGTGGCAATTGGGACAACAAGCCCTAAGACTGGGTCAAAACAAACTCATCCCTCCTCAGACATGCATGGAAGAAGCAGGTAGGAATCAGATTCCTAGTCAAGTTGCTGAGCAAAGCTGGAGGAAGAAGATGGTGGCAAATTCTGATGAAGAAGCTGGAAGGGGCTGGATGAGGCTGAGCAGCCTCCCAGGAGATCCTGCAGGAGCAGAGCCCCATACAGTCATGCTGTAAGCAAATCCAGGAATAATTGGCCCTGCTGTCCTCCTATCACCGAGGGTGGGCCATTACTTTTGTAAACATATCATAGACCCACCCACATCTTTCCAGACCTGGTCTGGCCCTCACATCTTTTCTGAGCAATTAACAGCCTTTGAATGGAGCCCCTAACTTCAAGGGCCCCCAACTTCAGATAACTGCCCCCCACTGCTGTTTCCAGCATCCGTCTTCCCTATGCACAGCTGCTAAAGCCATTCTTAAGGTTGTTCTATGTCACAGCCCAGATTCCTGACAACCCCCGCAGATTCCACAGGCCTGGGGACAGGCCCAAGAGCTTGCATTTCCAAAAGGTTGCCAGCTGAGGCTGCTGTTGCTGGACTGGAGACTACATCTGTGCTGATCCAGACCATCAGCACAGAGTTCAGAGAAAAGATTGAGGTCCTCAGGATGCACGCCCCCAAAACCCCATCCTAGAGCTGAGAGCATGGTCAATGCCCTAACAGGAGCAATAGCAGGATCAATGGAACATATGGTCCACCCCAAACCAATCCATTTGTTGAGAAAATAAATGGGAGAGGGATTTTCTGAAATGAATTGGTCTAAAGAAAGGTGGGGTGTTGTAAGGATCCAAGCCCATTAGATAAATGGATATAAGATATGAATGTTCCCTTTCGGCCTCATTTGTTATATCTTTGACTTAACCCCAATTGGGAGGAACTCATGATCACATGTGAACGAAAGCATGACAACAGTTAGAGCACAGAGAGAAAGTGGATGGGACGGGGCCTTGATAGATACTCAGACATGAGGATGAACACCTCGACTGACACAAAAAGAAGGCTAAACTCATCTACAGTAAAAACACCAAGAAAGAAAAGACCAAGGTCATAGAAGGATTATATGGTTGCATCTGTCCAGCTGTGGTGGCAGCAGAGCCACTGAGTTCAGGACCAGGACTTGGTGCTCCTGAGCTGGGGAGTGAGCAGTGAGGGACAGAATCAGCATGCTGCCACCATCCCACCCTGACAGAGCGTGGCCCTCCATGGAAACAAAGGGCATGTGCTTGACCCCAGGTGGGAAGAGGCAGAAACAAGCAGATTAAAAGGTCCTTGGGAGCAGAATTCCTGCACTTGGCTCCTGTCCCAGAGTTACTGCTAAGCTGGGCCACTTCCAACTAGGTGCATAAATCCACGCCAAGAGACCAAGGGATTCCCCCTAAAGAGTATGCTAAACATATTTCTCTAGCTGACACCCAGAGCCTTCTCCAAATATCCAGCATCTCTGTGTCAGGAACTGCTGGGCCTCAGCATGAGTGAGGATTCGAGTTCTGGGTTTGCTGCATCCTGGCATCACATCCATGCCCCACCCACACCCAGCTCATCTCAGCTGTCCAGCTGTCCCCACCTTGGTTGACTCAATCCCTCTTCCAAAGACAATGCACCCCTTACTGAGACAGCCAGGTGGGAAAGGGTCCCCAGAGAAACTCCAGCCAGCCCGGGCACTGGAGTGGAGCCACAGAAGTTCCACCCTGTCTGCAGCAGAGAGAAGCCTGGCCCCTCTTCTTTCTGGATAAACCTGGGATTCAATCTGTGAGGCGGGAAGCCGAAGGGCAAGAAGCACACCATCTTGCTTCACTAAGAGTCTCTGTTCCCTCTCCCTTTTTTTTCTTTTTGCCCAATAAACCCCATTTTTCTCACCCCTCATCTACAAGCCTAAGTTTTCACAGCTGTGTGACAAGGACCCTGCCTTTAGCTGAACTAAGGAAAAGTCCCACAACATTAACCTTCCCTCCAAATGTGCCTGTGGATAGATACACTTCTGTTTCTCTTGCCATGATATCCCTTGTGCCTAACTCTGCCTGGCAGGTAGTAAGTGTCTAATAAATAGCTAAGAAAGAATTTTTTAAAAGAAAGGGAGAGGGAAAGGAGCAATGATAAGCTCACTAGCATTCAAATAAAGTCACAACAAGGACTTGGTGGGGTGTTGTAAGGATCCAAGCCCACTGGATGAATAATGCAAGCTATGGATGTTCCCTTCCAGCCTCATTTGTTGTATCTTTGACTTAAGCCCTAGGTGTTGAGCATTTTTCTGGCACCCTTTCTGGAGAATTGCCTGTGGATTCAGTTGCATGGCGGATTCAGCAGACTTCACACATGGAGCTCTGTGCCAGGGCCTGGCTATTTTCTGGTTCAATCCTCTCACAGCCCTACAAGTGGGGTTTGGTGTCCCTGCTGTGAAGATGAGGAAACAATACACTGAGAATTTAGGAGATGGTCTCAACCTCGCAGCTCATGGACCCGGCACTGAGCTCCATCCTGCCCTCTGGGCCCAGAACTCCTCCAGTGCTTGTGGTGTGCCTAAGCATTGCCTTGCGAGGTGGTGCTCGGTGTGTAGAAAGAGCCAAAGGTATTCAGCAAGGGATCTATGGTCCAGCATGGCGACTATACTTAATAACAACACACTGTGCACTTCAACACTACTGACAGAGTAGTTTGGAAAAGGTGTCACCACAAATAACGAGAACTATGTAAGGTAATAGACATGCTGATCAGCCAAATTCAGCACTTCCGCAGTGTG